CCCTCCGACGGGCCGCGGCCGTCCACCCACGGGCAGCGGTGCTCCATCAACGTTCAGCGGTGCTCCATCAACGGGCAGCGGTACTTCACCAACGGGCAGCGACGCTCCATCAACGGGCAGCGGGGCTCCATCAACGGGCAGCGGCACTCCACCAATAGGCAGCGACGCTCCATCAACGGGCAGCGGCGCTCCACCAACGGTCAGCGACGCTCCATCAACGGGCAGCGGTGCTCCATCAACGGGCAACGGCACTCCACCAACGGGCAGCGACGCTTCATCAACGGGCAGCGGCGCTCCACCAACGGGCAGCGGTGCTCCATACACGGGCAGCGGCACTTCACCAACGGGCAGCGACTCTCCATCAACGGGTAGCGGTGCTCCACCAACGGGCAGCGACGCTCCTCCAACGGGCAGCAACGCTCCATCAACGGGCAGCGGTGCTCCATCAACGGACAGCGGCACTCCACCAACGGGCAGCGACGCTCCACCAACGGGCAGCGGCGCTCCATCAACGGGCAGCGGTGCTCCACCAACGGGCAGCGACGCTCCTCCAACGGGCAGCGGCGCTCCACCAACGGGCAGCGGCGCTCCATCAACGGGCAGCGGTGCTCCACCAACGGGCAGCGGTACTTCACCAACGGGCAGCGACGCTCCATCAACGGGTAGCGGTGCTCCACCAACGGGCAGCGACGCTCCTCCAACGGGCAGCGGTGCTCCATCAACGGGCAGCGGTACTTCACCAACGGGCAGCGACGCTCCATCAACGGGTAGCGGTGCTCCACCAACGGGCAGCGACGCTCCTCCAACGGGCAGCGGTGCTCCATCAACGTTCAGCGGTGCTCCATCAACGGGCAGCGGTGCTCCACCAACGGGCAGCGGTACTTCACCAACGGGCAGCGACGCTCCATCAACGGACAGCGGCCCTCCACCAATGGGCAGCGGTGCTCCATCAACGGGCAGCGGCTCTTCATCAACGGGCAGCGACGCTCCATCAACGGACAGCGGCACTCCACCAACGGGCAGCGGTGCTCCATCAACGGGCAGCGGCGCTCCATCAACGGGCAGCGGTGCTCCATCAACGGACAGCGGCACTCTACCAACGGGCAGCGACGCTCCATCAACGGGCAGCGACGCTCCCCCAACGGGCAGCGACGCTCCCTCAACGGACAGCGACGCTCCATCAACGGACAGCGGCACTCCACCAACGGGCAGCGACGCGCCTCCATCGGGCAGCGGCACTCCACCAACAGGCAGCGACGCTCCATCAACGGGCAGCGGCGCTCCATCAACGGACAGCGGCACTCCACCAATGGGCAGCGGTGCTCCATCAATGGGCAGCGACGCTCCATCAACGGACAGCGGCACTCCACCAATGGGCAGCGGTGCTCCATCAACGGACAGCGACGCTCCATCAACGGGTAGCGGTGCCCCCCCAACGGGCAGCGACGCTCCACCAACGGGCAGCGGTGCTCCAACAACGGGCAGCGACGCTCCATCAACGGGCAGCGACGCTCCATCAACGGGCAGCGGCGGTCCACCAACAGGCAACATTTTATTAATGAGCATTTCGGAAGATCCGAATAAAAGTAAGGAAAAGTTATTGCGCTTTCTCTGTCGTTTTTTTCTCTTTCTCTCTCATGAAATTTATACTTTTAAATTAAGTATATTCAAAAAATTAATTTTAAGATATCCATATTTATAAAATAAAAATATATAATTATTCAACAATATTTATTAAAGATTAGAATAGAAAGTTTAGAATACAAAAAACCTTTTCGAAATTTAATATATTAGGTGTACAACTTTGCTTCCACCGTTTTTTTTCCCGAAATTCGAAGCTTTATTGTAAAAAACTGGTTATACATT